GCAGTAAACATATTCAAGTTAAATGCAAGGCAATAAAGAATTCAGGGCCTTGGGTCACACAGAACATGTGTATGTAAGCATAAAGAGAATATTAAGCCACACATGAATAGGGAAGAAACATAAATAGCATTAGAACACAAATACTGACCACTGTAGTCAGTCAAAACAACACAAAGCCACAAGAGTTTTAATCAGGATTGAAAAACAAAGAGGGAAACTAGGGAAACACGACACTTTAAGGATGGAGGGGGAAGGGGATTGAGAGTGCACATAAACAGAGACAGACACTCATTTGCATCTTCATGAGCCTTGATAAGCTGCCTGTTGACAGCCTTAACTTCCTCACTGAATAAGGCATTTGTCTTCAGCAGCCTTTCATTTTCATCCCTCAACTTTTGCAACACCTGCTCATTTTCATCACTGGTACCAGGTCCCCTTGAAACCGCCTTCTGTAATTCAAACTTCAGTTTAGCGATTTCAACTTCCTTGTCATTCAAAATCCCAGTGAGATCAGTCACTTCCCGTGTAAGAGCAGTTTGCTGCTCTAGAACATCTGCTACTTGAGATTTGCCCATAGTTTTTCCTTCAACACACTCACATTCCAGTAGGGTAGCATCAGTGAACATCTGCTTGGTGGTACCAGGTACCCCTCTTCCCAAAGGCACTTCGAAGTGGTTGAATACAAAATTCAGCAGGTAACCATATGGAATCCCATGTATTGCCTTTGTGTTCCAGCATAATGGCAGAGAGGTTGATCTCTTCAAGTTCATCAAGCTTCTCCATGAGAAAAAAATCAGCAGCAGATACTACTGTTCTATTTTCAATTCTAGGTACTAACACCTTGTTGATGAAGTCAAAAAGAAAATGACTTTGAGAAACATTTTTGGTAACCCTGCATTCTTGACATCTCCATGTTTTGTGGAAAGTTTTGTGAAGTCACTGGATGGTTTACAACCTTCAATCGTTCGAATTCCTTCCATAGAACCCCTAAAATAATCCCCAATATTTCTTCATCCAGACATGTTTCAACATTCCTGACAGTAGTCGCGAATCCACCACCTTCCAGAAGTTCCATTTTGTAGAAAAATTCACGCACCCAAGTTCATGCAAGTACGAAACTTGTGGTTCAAAGAGATGGTTCCAACCTTGAATGGAGACAACATAAAAAAGATTTGACATTCCAAATTTGGTTAGAATGTCAAGGTCAAAGACTCTGCCATTCAAAACCTTTTGGTTCTCCATTGTCGTTATCTGCTCCTCCCTTGTAATTTCCTTTTCTTCACTTTGTTTTTACACCCTGGGACCTGGTCCCTTTACGGGTTTTGATTTTTCAGCCACTGTTTTCCAACTTTCTCCCTTTTCACTGGGGATTTCTTTGCACTCTTCTGACTTCCTTTTGATTTAACCCTTTCTTTCTCACTTTTTTTTCTTTTCTTAGTCACATAAGCAACAACATCCTCTGACTTAGTATCACTAGATCTGATAGGGAGAGGTGTAGAGGTAAGCTTTTCAAGTTCAATACCTTCCCTCCACCTTTTCCTGGCCCTTTCCATTTGAACTCGGCTTGCTGCTATGGCACTCATTTCACCAACTCCACAAACTGGAGTCAAAGGAGTTTCATCTGAAGGGGGTATGGAGAAGTTGAAAGAACTAGGGTTTTCAACTTCTTGGGAGATAAGAGTCTGGGAAGAAGAGACAGAGTTACACATTTTGAGAGAGGAAAGAAGATACTTGAAAAACAATTAGAGAATCAGAAGAAAATAACTGAAGAGATTTGAAGAATTTGATTCGCTAAATACTTAAGTTTTAGATAGAGTTAAAAGGGTATTGGGTCCCCAACAATAGCGACCTTTGGTTTTAAAGTGAAAAGACACTTGAAACTGACGCGATGAATGGGCAAGGGACGCGTGGCAGTGATGTTGACAACCAGACAATGTAGTATAAGTGATACTAACCTTATAAGGACCAGGTCCTCTTTTCAATTTGCAACCCTGCCTGTATGGTTAGATCTTCCCTTCAGTTAAACACACCATGAGTGTATACCTGCATTAAGGTACCAGAAGTGAATTCTTAAGTGACAAACATTAAACAAGCATAGATACCTGCCCTCCTTAACATAATCAAAATAGAAGATTTTTGTGCAAACTTGTCGAGGAATCAGGTAATCTTGTGCATCCCCAGCCTCATCCTGTTTTTAATGAAACATTTTTTACCCAAGGACTTTGTAAAGATATCAGCCCGTTTCAGTCTTGCAGAATTTCATCACAACATTTTGTTTCTCAACACTGTCCCTCAAGAAATGATGCCTCACATCTATGTGCTTTGTCCTCTTGTGCTGCATAGGATTTTTGGCCATATTCATTGCACTAGTGTTGTCACATATTAAAGGAATTGTATTAGTGAGAACACCAAAATCCTCCAATTGCTGCTTGATCCACAACAGTTGAGCACAACATGAAGCAACAACTACATATTCCGCCTCAGCAGTGGACAAAGCAACTGAATTATGTTTCTTTGTCCCCCAAGATATCAGTGAAGATCCAAGAAAATCTGCCATGCCTGATGTACTCTTTCAATCTACAAGAAAGCGTGCATAGTCAGCATCTGTAAAACCAATTAGATCAAGTGAGTCACCTGTTGGGTAGAAAAGGACCAGGTCCTGAGTTCCCTTCAGGTATCTCAGTATTCGTTTAGCAGCTTTTAGATGTGACTCATTTGGTGTAGCTTGAAACTTTATACACATCCCTACACTGAAGACGATATCTATCTGTTGGTAGTGAGATATAAGAGTGACCCAATGATACCCCTATACATAGTCTGATTTACCTCAACTCCATCTTCATCCAAGTCAAGCTTCACACTTGTGCTCATGGGAGTATCAAGAACTTTTGCCTCAATCATATTGAACTTTCGAAGCATTCCCTTGATGTATTTCTCTTGGCATATAGAGGTACCTTAAATGGACTGTTTGATTTGCAAGCCTAGGAAGAAAGTGAGTTCTCTCATCATGCTCAACTCACTACTCATCAGATCAGCAAATTCCTTGCAAAGTAAATCTGTAGTGACTCCAAAAATGATATCATCCACATAAACCTGCACAATCAACAACTCCTTTCCTCTAGATTTCAAAAACAAAGTATTATCAATTTTACCTCTTTTGAACCCATTTGCAATAAGGAACTTTGACAGGCGTTCATACCAAGCTCTGGGAGCTTGTTTTAACCCATACAAAGCCTTGTCTAACTTCAACACATGATTTGGCAGTTCTGCATCTTCAAAGCCTGGGGGCTGTTTGACATACACTTCTTCCTTCAGATTCCCATTCAAGAAGGTGCTCTTGACATCCATTTGAAAGAGCTTAAATTCCATATGAGCAGCAAATGCTATCAAGATTATGATGGCTTCCATTCTGGCTACATGAGCAAAGGTCTCATCATAGTCAATCCCTTCCTCTTGGTTGTACCCCTGCATTACAAGCCTTGACTTGTTTCTAGTAATGGTTCCATGCTCGTCAAGCTTGTTTCTGAAGACCCATCTTGTTCCAATCACAGTTCTGTTAGGAGGTCTGGGGACCATGTGCCAAACTTTGCTCCTCTCAAACTGATGGAGTTCCTCCTGCATAGATATTACCCAATATGCATCCTGTAAAGCTTCCTTGATGTTTTTCGGTTCAATAGATGACATAAAGGCTGAATAGGCAACTAGATTTCTCATCCTGGATCTAGTTTGAATTCCAGAGTCAAGTGGAGAGATCATATTCTCCAATGGATGTGAGGATTGATGTTTCCATCCTGACTTTCTGGCTGACTCCACTCCAATTTCAGTATCAGATTCAGCATCATCATCTTCATGATTTTGGAGTGGAACCTCCTGAGTAGTATCGGAGGGACCAGGTACTCCTGTGAGATCTGCAGCAATTTCCTTTGTGACCTGTTTGTTTCCAGGGTTTAGGCTGTCCTTGTCTTCCCTTTCCTTGATCAACTCCTCAATCTCATTGTCTCCATTGTGATTATCACTTTTCTCAGATTCATCAAAGGTCACATGAATGCTCTCTTCAACATAGAGAGTTCTTTTGTTAAACACTATGTAAGTTTTGCTAGTCCTATAAACACACTTTCATCACTCCTGGCGTCAAACTTACACAGATCATCATTTCTATTATTTAGCACAAAGCATTTGCATCCAAATGACTTAAGGTGGGCAATTGAAGGCTTTCTGTTGTTCAGCAATTCATAAGGTGTCTTCTTTATCATAGACCTGATAAGGTACCTATTAGTACCATAGCATGTTTGTTGACTGCTTCTGCCCAGAAGTTCATAGCCAGCCCTGAGTCTATCAGCATAGTCCTTGCAATATCAACCAGAGTTCTGTTCTTTCTCTCAACCACTCCATTTTGTTGAGGAGTTCTTGGAGCAGAAAAATTATGATTGATTCCATTTTCAGCACAAAAACATTCAATTTGAGAGTTCTCAAACTTTGATATCAACCAGAGTTCTGTTCTTTCTCTCAACCACTCCATTTTGTTGAGGAGTTCTTGGAGCAGAAAAATTATGATTGATTCCATTTTCAGCACAAAAACATTCAATTTGAGAGTTCTCAAACTTTGTCCCATGGTCAGATCTAATACTAGCAATCTTGCAGTTGACCTTTAATTGAATTGCTTTGGTAAAACTAACCAGAACTCGAGCAGCCTCATCCTTTTTCCGCAGAAACATATTATAGGTGTACCTAGAGAAATCATCAATAGTCACAAGAATATATTTTTTACCTCCTCTGCTTTGAATTCTGATAGGTCTACACAGATCCATGTGGAGAAGTTCCAAAGGTCTGGTAGTGCACACACCCTTCTTTGCCTTGAAAGAAGATCTTGTTTGTTTGCCTTTTGCACAGGAGTCACGTACTTTGTCATTGGAGAACTTCAGTTGTGGTAGTCCACGGACCAGGTCCTCTGCAACAAGCTTGTTAAGTAGAGAGGTACTTACATGACCCAGTTGTCTATGTCAAAGGTTGACATCATCAGTTTGAGCACTCAGACATGACAAGTTGTCTCCATCAATAGAATCAAGATCAGCAACATACATATTCTTGACCCTTTTTGCAGACATCACAATTTTCTTAGTTGCACAGTTTGTAACCACACACCCTTCAGACATGAACTTGACTTCATTTCCCTTGTCACAAATTTGAGACACACTTAAGAGATTAAACTTCAGACCATCCACATAGTGTACATTGTCTATGGAATGATCTGCAGTTCTTCCTATCTTGCTAATACCAAGAATAAAGCCTTTCTTTCCAACGCCAAATGACACACCACCACCTTGGTGTGCTTCCAAAGAGAGGAAGTTTAGAGTATTTCCAGTCATATGCCTTGAGCATCCACTATCCATATACCAGCATTGACTACTCCCTCTCTTTTGCACAAAAATCACTTATTAGACTTAGGAACCCACTTCACAGGGGGCAAAGTGTTCTTAGTGAAATGGTAACGGGGACCAGGTACCTTGTGTCCTCTTTTAACATTCTTTTCTGATCTAACAAATTTCACATGCCTTTCTTTTACTTTTCTCAGAGTCTCACACTTTTCTTTCAGATGACCATTACGACCACAGTGAGTACATAAGAGATTGTCAGAGATGGACACATATTTGCTATGGGGGTTATAAAGAGGTTCTATCGGTTTGCAGCCTAACCCCTTCTTTCCATTGAAGCTCTGACTAGTCAAGTTAGAGAGTATCTTGGAGGAGTCAGTCCACTTAAGAGAGTGACTTAACTCTTCTTTGACCTTGCTCAGATCCTTCCTCAGTTGACAATTTGTTTCAAGAGAGGCAACTAGCTTAGACTCCGAGATTTTAAGCTTTTCTTCCAACTCTTCCTAAAAAATGCTAAGCTTTTGCTTTCCACCCTCCGAGGTACAAGGATCCTCCTCAGGTGTCATGTTGCCAGTCTCTAGGATACCTATCCTAACACTCACACAAACTTAATTTTTCATTCGTCATTAAGTTTTCAGTGATTAGTTCATCAACAGAATCAATAAGCAATATAGCAAGTTTTCTCAAATTTTTAATGGGAAGAGTATCTAGATCATCTTTAAGATAAAAAAGAGTTACCTCATTTAGATCCTCTTCATCATCAGACTTTGCCATTAATGAGAAGATGGAGTTGAAGACATTTTCATCATCTTTAATAGCCATCATTGAAACATCTTCATGACTTTCTGTATATTCTTCTAATTCACTTGACTCATTTACCTATACGGCAAAGGCTTTTCTCAACAGCTGATCAACATGAGCTTTCCTCCTAGCATGGTCTGGGACCAGGTCCATCTTGTGAGGCCTGATGTCCTGAGTTTCTTGCTTCTGGCTAGGGCAGTCCCTCATAATGTGGTCAGGCTTACCACATTTATTATTTGCAGTAGCAGTTCTGCTGGTCGAAGCTTTCTTTTGGAAACCCCATGCTTATTTATATTCTTTTGAAATATTTTAGTGACATACGCCATCTCATCCTCCTCCTCAGTCACATCATTTTGAGATGTCTTCAAGGCAACCGATTTCTCCTTCTTCCATTCCTTCACGGTCGTACCCTGTTTCTTGTTCAACTCATAGGTCTGAAGATTTCCGATCAGTTCATCCATGGGAAGAGTCATTAGATCTTTGGCTTCTATTATGGCATCCACTTTGCTTTCCCAAGACTTGGGAAGCACCTTGAGAATCTTTCGAACTTGTTTGCTTACAGGAATAGGCTCACCCAAGCATCTAAGTTCGTTGGTTATGGAGGTGAATCTTGAGTTCATCTCAAAGATAGTTTCACATTCCTTCATGCAGAAGTTCTCGTACTGAGTCGTAAGCATATCGACCTTAGACTCTTTTACTCGTTGTGTTCCCTCATGGTTGTTTGAAAACAGTCCCATATCTCTTTGGCAGTCTCATAAGCAGATATTTTATTGTATTCGTCTACTCCAATTCCACACACTAGAATCTTCTTTGCTTTGTAATTCTTTTCTATCTTCTTCCTATCTGCTTTATTATACTCTTTTCTGGTTTTGACAGCTGTAGTGATGAGCACTCCATCCTTCACCTCCTTTGTAGGAATATATGGTCCATCAAGAATAATGTCCCACAGCTCAGTATCCTCAGCGTTGATGTAGTCGTACATTCGATTTTTCCACCATCCATAGTATTGACCATTAAAGCAAGGTGGCCCGGTAGAAGACTGACCTTCCTCCATATTAGGTGGGACAGTCATTCCTTCTGGATCTTTTTTTTCTAGGTGTTAACCAAAATGAAAAGTCAAGCTTTGAAACCATTTGTTGGAATGTATGCGTCCACTGATTTCGATGGGACCAGGTCCTCAACACAGTTACAATAACAAATAGTAAAATAAATGTTGAAAGTAAAGATTGCACAATCAACTTTACATGGAAATCTCCTTGTTCAAGGGAGTAAAACCACGACCTGTTCTCAACAGGACTTTTCAAACTTCTTCCACTAATCTTCTCCAAGCAAAAGTAAAAGCCAAAGAAGATACAACACTGCCCACTATACTAATCCTAACCGATTAATATAGACTTTAGAGTAAGAAACTAAGTTACCCTTAACCTAGTTCTTACAATGATTCACACAAACTTGAAACATTTCTATCACAAGCAAAATGATTCCTACAATATAAACACGATTACAAGCAAACAAAGTAACAACTGGTACAGGAAGAACTTGAAATAATCGATCAGGTCTCTGTTGTTTTGAAGCTTGAAATATCTCACTTTTGAATGAATGAGTAATTTCTTATTTGTAAGTTGAATATATTGGACAAGAAGAATTATTATCCAATCTACAAACACCCTCGTCGCTTCTGATTGGTGAAGTACTCTGCAACTTCACTAACTTTCTGACGCAGACAGCTTTTACAGTTGTTCAGCACTTTGACCACTAGATGAGTATTCATACTCTGCAAAGGACCAGGTCCCTGCACTTGTGAGGAGATCATCAAAACATCTAGGAGCGTTAGCACTTATCAAGATGTAGCTCAAACGATTGTACTTTGATTTCAAGAAAAAGTAGACATTAACACCACACTATCGACGAATTCCCACTAGGTATGACCAAAATTGGTCAATTTTGTTTTCAGCAAAGACAAAAACGAATTCAGCAGAATAAATGAAAGAAAATAAAAAAATAACTATTAAAAAAAGTTTAATCTGCTAAATAACATCGAAGAGGCTATTAAGATAGAAAGACACATGAAAATTCATACACGTGTCACTTTGTACATTTAAGTATTCAGTGTATAACTTTTCTCATTCTCTAGATATGAGGTTGGTTAACGCATTATTTGGTTAATTAAGGAGTTAATTATTATTTGAAGAGTATTGTTTGTCTCAGTATTTTGAAGTTATTTGAATTTACATGTTATAAGTTGCTTATTTACATCTCAGTAAAAATCAGTTCAAATTCAAGAACAGAGTATTTTCACTATTTAATGTAAACTTTGAACAAGAATATTTGATTCAGTGGAAATAATAAAGAACACGGAAAGTGTTATATTCTAGGTGTTTTGATGATCCTCACAAATGTAGGGACCTGGTCCCCGGCAGAGTGCTCTCAGCCAGATTCAAATGAGGTACAGCTATCACGTCAGGAGGTAGGTGAAAAGTGCAGTGTCCTAGAATAATAGGAAGGGCGGACAAGATTGTCTATTTCAGTGTCTCACAAATGTAGGGACCTGGTCCCCAGCAGAGTTCTCTCTATCATCTCCATCAGATGCATAATGGGGTACAGCTGTAAAGCTGTCGTGTCAGAGGTTGGTGAGGCGTCAGCGTACTACACCAATCAGAACGGAGGAGGGTGTTTGTCCAATGGGTAATAATTCTTTATGGTTGATAATTTATACATGACAAACACCATAATTAATTCATTCATCCAAAGAAGGAAGTTAGTCAGCAAACCTTTCAAGAACTCATAAAGAAGTTTGCAAGGGACCTGGTCTCTGCAAGACTGCGATATGGAAAGGTGAAAAGACAGCTGTCAGAAAAGCTGATACGTCAGAAAAGCTGCTACGGCAGGTGCACAACTTTTCTAACAGCAGGCCTTCAGCCAATGAGATTGGCTCAAGGAGTTTGTGTTCACTTTCAATATATTATCTCTTTCCAACAAACACAAACTCAAGATTTGGCAAACTAAATTTGGATTTTCTCTCAAAATTCATAAGCTTGAAAAGAAGGTCATCTTCAAGGAAGAACATTGCTCAATTCAACAAAGGGATCTGATAGAGTGAAGAAGAGTCTTTGTTGTACTTAGAGCTTTGTGTCTCATGTGCTTACATTGTAAATCTGATCCTAATCTATAAAGGATTCAGATCTTGTTTCGGTTTCTAAAAGTCTAAGTCTTCTAGAGTTAGGTGATTTAGTGGGCAACATTGTTGTTGCTTAGTCAAAATCTAAATCGTCCATAGGGTGGTGGTTTAGTGAGCGGTGTTGTATCCGCTTAGCAAAGTCTAAGTTATCTAGGGGTGATAGCTTAGTGGGCAATGTGGTATCTGCTCTGGCTCGTCTAAGTGATATGAGGTATTGCTTATAGTTGGGATTAGTAGGCTAATCTCAATTTGTAAACTTGCTTTCGCTTTTGCTTGAGAAGACTAGTGAAAGAAGTTTGAAAAGTCCTGGCAGGCCAGGTCGTGGTTTTACTCCCTTGAGCAAGGAGGTTTCCACGTAAAGTTGCTTGTTCAATCTTTACTTTCAGCACTTATTTTATTGTTTGCTATTGAAACTGTGTTAAGGACCTGGTCCCATCGAAACAAGTGGACGCATATTTTAGTTACTGTTCTTGCTGAGTCAAAGGACCTGGTCCTTGACTGATAGGTGGATGTATGCATTCCAACAGAAAGCAAAAGCTGGACACAGCAATTGAAAGATTAAATGCAGGAAAATAAAATAACAATTTATTTATAAGACAATACCAACGTGTGTACAGAAGTGATGCGGAAGGCGAAGATGCTGCATAAGCTGCTGTGTTATTTGAAGAACCAGTGTAGTCTCTACTCCCTGAAGACTGTATTCCAGATATCCCAGGACCATTGGAGTCGTATGGTGATGCAAATGAAGTAGTTGATCCATAACTTCAATATGTCGACACAGGCATGTTTGGAGGGAGTGTGGGCAATGGAGCTTCAAAATTAAGCACCTGAATTGCTTGCCTTATAGAAGGCCTGCAATTGTTATCTGGATGAGCACACCATAAGCCAACAATTAGCAAGTGCTCCACCTCCTCTTCATTGAACTCTGATGAGAGTCTAGGATCAACTGCTTCACTAAGATTTCCCATCCCATAAAGTCTCCAAGCCCATTCAATAATATTTACTTGATGCTCCTCAGCTTTAGGATCAATAGGTTTCCTTCCACAAGCTATTTCTAACGCGACAACACCAAAGCTATAGACGTCTGTTTCCTTGCTAGCTTTGCCAGTGGTGACACATTCAGGAGCCATGTAACCCATCGTGCCTGCCAAAACTGTTGTTTGGGATCCCTTATCATGGTCAACTAGCCTAGCTAAGCCAAAATCCCCAAGTTTGGCGTTGAAATTTGAATCCAACATAATATTACTCGACTTTATGTCCCTATGCCCCACACATTGTTCCCATTCATCATGTAAATAAAGCAACGCTGAGGCCAAGCCTTGAGCAATCTTGAATCTTATTGGCCATGTCAAATGGCTTCTTCCCTTGAAAAGATGGTAATCTAAGCTTCCATTAGGCATAAACTCATAGACAAGTAGAAGTTCTCTTTTTTGATGGCACCAACCAATGAGTTGCACCAAATGTTTATGTCTTCCCGCGAAAAGTTATTTGTACATCTAGCCAACTCACCGTACAAAAACTTCTTTGGTCCTGTGCTTCTTTGAAATTCATTGTTCATGGAACCATCAATAATATCATCATCTTCATCTTCTCTTACCTTCCTCTTTCTCCAAAATATAAACAATATCAAAACAGATAGTGCTACCGAAACACAACCGCCAGAAATCAATCCATTCACAAGTCCTGACAGTTTTTTGCTTGAAGGATCTGGATCTGGGCTTTGTAGGGGTACATCTGGATCTGTTATGTTGTCATTATATTTTAAAGAAGAAGTAAAATTCCAAGAATAAATGTTTTGTATTGAAAACTGGAATCCTGTTGCACCTGAGAAGCCAAAAGTGACCCATTCAATTCTGGCAAGTAATCCCTCAGATCAATATTGTAAGATAGAGTCTGCAGGAAAGGGACTGTGGTATTCCCTTGTTGGTGGTAACCGATGAAGACAACACTAAGATTTTTGGAAGTTGAATTATAAGTAATCCATGCATCAGTAGTCTTATTATTGGGAATGCTACTAAACCAGGTCATATTAACAACAGATACCATGGAGTTGATGTTGACACCTACATGATCATCCGGTGGATCAAAATAGTTGCTAAAGGTGTCAAACTCGACAGCAACAAAAGGATGATTTCTCGATGTATTTTGTAGACTATCAATTGCAAGGCCAAGGCCGCCTCCTGCGGCTAACTTGTTATCAGGAATTCTTGAACCTTCAGGAGCGAGGAAGAAGGCAAGACCATCAGCATATAAGTTACTTCCCCGTGAATTGATCCCAAAGGAGAAATACGTAGTGAAATCAGTGAGATTCCCAGAGGCCTTGTCCCAAAGATAGAGAGCTTCTGAATATGTGGCTCTGCCTATGCTATGGTTTAAACGAATATCCAGCTGGTTTTTGGTGAGCTGAATTACACCGTTTTGATAAGCATCTGCCTCATACCTTATATTCTGATCATTGGAATTAAAACTATCAAAATTGAAGGACAATGAAGTGACAAAAGAGATTATCAAAACAAGGTATGATAAAGATGCAAAAACAGCCATAGTTAAACAAATGTATGTTGCTACACTACTCTATAATGTTTTTATATTTTCAAGTGCAGACTCAAGTTTTTCGTTGGCAAAAATATTACCAATTCAAAGCAATGGAGTTCTTTATTTCATTTTCTTCTCACACGCTAATGAATTGACCAATTATTTTTTAGAAATAAAGTATTCTGGAATGGGAGTGAGTACATGCTTTCAACTTGCAATCTTTTGAAAGTCATGACAGATCCAAAATTTAAAATATGTATTTTTCAACCCTCAAATCTATATATTTTTAAGGGATAAGGCATTTTTTTTATTTTGTATTTAAATTAAGTTGATACACATTTTTGTACCTTGTATCAAAACTTTTTTTTTTACCTTCATTCATTGTTTTTTCTCTTTTATTTTTCAATTTATTTTATTTACTCTTTTTATTTTCTTTGTCTTTCGTTTTGATTTGATTTCAATTTTAATTCCAAATGTCTTGTATTTAAAATAAGTGAATTTCGAACGGATATCAAAATAAGTGAAGAAAATCAAATAAAACATAAAAAAAGGGTAAAATTAACGGTCACTTTTAAATTATTTTTAAAAAATACACAATATTTTTTTAAAAATAATTAAAACTGAAAAGATAATAAATTAATTAAAAAAAGTTTAGAGTAAGAAATAAATTAAAATAAATATTTTACAAAAAAAGAAATAGAATAATTATATATATATAAGTTTTAATATCAATAAATATGTATACTAACTAATTATAAAGTTATCAATTAAAAAAATGACATGTGTCCAATTTGTGCACCCATCAGTTGCCTTCAAGAAGGTGTGCACTTGTGCCTTATGCCTATTTTTAATTATACGTGTTTAAGAGGAATCGAAACCTCATCAAGGAGGGGAGGGCAACAAAATACAAGCAGATCTCATTTTTGTCATTGGATCAAAAGCTTACACTATTACTGAGTTCTCAATAAATATTGGGGGGTTAAATTTAAGTGTTGTTTATATATATTTCATGAATGAGTCAAGTTTAAGCATTATATAATTAGAGAAGGATAAAAAAACACACTTAAACTATCATTTTTTTGAGTTTCAAATCTAAACTATTGAAAGTGTGAGTTTCAAATCTAAACTATCACTTATTAGTTTGAGAAACACAGATCCCTCTTTTGTTACACTCTCATCATGGTGTATGTAATACACCCTCTCTTTTATTTGAAAAATTGTCACATCACATTTCACGTGGACAAAATATTACATTTTGACAAAAATTAAATAAATTATTAGTATTAATTAAAGTTAAAGATTAAACTATTATTATTCCCCCAAAAAAATTATAAAATAAATGTAAAATATTTTTTTAACCCACTCTACCACTTCCTCTCACTGTACTCTCCCCCACCCCAATTATTTTATTTTTTCTTTAAAAAAAAAATTCTTTTATAAATTTTTTGTTACTTAATCTGCAAAGTAGCATTCTCATAAGTAGAGGATGAAACCTTTGCTTGTTTATTCCGACAGGGGTTTATGAATCACTTAAATCCCCTCCCTTCAAATAATAATTTAGGTATATCATGTTTTTCTCCAATTATGAGGGTATACTGCTGTAATATGTACGCATAAAGTAATATTCTTCCGTTTTTATTTTTGCTTGTCACTGTATGACTTATCATATCATTAAGAAAATAATTATTGATATAAGTATTTTATCACACTATCTCTATTAATTAATGTTTAAGATTATATCTTTAAAAATGATTTGGAGAATAATATTTAATGTTAAGGATAAAATATGGAAAAAATAATTGTTTTTTTTATATGTCAAAAATGACAAGTAAAAATATAAATTTATTTTAAAAATAAATAATAAATAAAAATGAACAGAAGGAGTAATTATGAAGGGTATACTCGTACGAGATGAAGAGTCGCATTAATTTTCCCAAATAAAATATCAACTGAGAAAAGTTGTCTCTTTTTTTTCTTCGAGAAAATAGCCAAATATCACCTAAGCTATGATAGATTTTTTAACTACACACTTATTCTGCATGGGTGATCTATTGCACCCTAAACTACTTTAAACAAAATAAATAACCCCTTAAGTGTTAACTAGTCATAAATAACGAGTAAGAAAAAATGTTTTTATTATATTTCTATTATAATTAAATAGTATATATATTATTTATTTATTTTTATAATCAAAATTAACTAGTCATAAATAACGAGTAAGAAAAAATGTTTTTATTATATTTCTGTTATAATTAAATAGTATATATATTATTTATTTATTTTTATAATCAAAATGATCCCCTTTTAATGGGGGATCACTTTCCCTCTCACTTATATGGAGAAGAAAAATTGGCAGTTCAACCCTAATCTTTTATGGATGATAACGAGCCGATGAGGAAGTAATCGCTGGAGAAGATGAATTTATCGGTAAATTCGAAAATTCATACTTGAGCTTTGAAACTCTTTAACAATTGTTGTCCATGGATTTGTCTTTCCTCATTCATTAGTCATGTTTTTTTTTAAGCTCAAATCAATTGATCCAAATGTTTTCAAACTCAAAAACCCAGCAATGGAGAATTAGTAATTGCAAATGAAAATTTTCGGATTTAGAATTCAAACCCAGCAACTCACAAAAATAAATTCGATTTTGATAGCTTTGTACATCAATGGAGTTTCCTGATTTTTGCCTCAAAACTTCACTCCAAGTTCCAAATTAATTAACAAATAATGTGTAGATTCAATTAGTACATGATCAGTTTGATTTGGGTTTTCAAATATCAAACCAAATCATTTGTGTAAAAAATTTAAATTTATAAACCAAACCAAACTAATAAAACTCAGATTTTTCGGGGTTTTCAACCTCGGGTTTTTTCAAATAACAAACCAAACCATTTGTGTCAAATTTTTAAATTTTTAAATCAAACCAAACTAATAAACCTCAATTTTTTCAGGTTTTTGGATTTTTTCTGGTAAAGTATTCATACAAACATATAATTGACTTGTGCTCCAAATATTTCTTTAGTCCAACTAAAATACAACTATCTAAGGTGTTTTTTTAAAGAAAATAATACAAAATATGAGATGAGTGATGACACTAAAATATATCTCTCTCTCTCTCTCTATATATATATATATATATAAAGGAGAAATATAGAGAAGGTGATGTGACACCTATCTATGACCTCCATTTATATTTATCCTTTTTCCTCTTTTTTTAAAACATTTTTCTATTATTTATTTATTTTATTTTTAATATCTTAAAAAAATTTCACATTTAATTACTCAACTTTTCACCTACCACTATAATATATATTTAATACCTTTAATAAATAAGAAATAACTACTAATAACTCACACATCTTCAACTTATACTCTTAATAATATTCATAACTCCTTTTTAACCCCAAAATTTAATTTATAAGTTTATGTCTTATGGTATTCCTCTTCTTTGTCTATATAAATTCATATTTTGTATCAAGAAAATTGTCATTCAAAGTTATTCTTTCACTTCTCCATCACCTTATCATACATTAGGGTGAGGAAGAAAATGTTAATCATCACATCATATAGTTGCTTTCAACAAAGTCATAAAAAATATCTATGAGTAAGAATGCTTCTATTAAGTTTTTAAATTATACATTTTTTACATTAATTTATGTGATATTATTTATTTTGAGTAAATTTAACTAAACTTTGAAACTAAATTGAATAAATTCATGGAGTAACTAACAATTTCATATAAGTATATTCTTTATTTGTGCTTATAGGGATGACGAAGAAAGTTGAGGAAGCTACAAAAGTAGAGAAAATTGTGAATTTCAGAAGAAGATGATGTAAAGTCTTACAATAAATTATTGTTATAGTAATTCTATCTCTTTAGTTTTTCTTTCTTCTCCTCTATTTTTCATTTATGTACTTTATTGAAGAACTTAAAATATATTTTAAAATTCTTTTAATTGTAGCTCCTTACATTCTCTTTTTATCTTAAAGTTCTTTTTTTTAGATGACTATAGTTGTACATACATAATTCATTAGGCAAAATTATGATTAGTTCTCGTGAATTTTTATTATGATAGCCTTTCGCAGCATCCTAAAACAAACATTATATACTTGAAGTAACTATTTATTTGCATGTTGAAGTGCATTCCTAAATTCGACACTACGATTAGAAGTGTTTTAAAGAGCGAAAATTTGATAACTTATAAAAGAAAAAGTGTTATCCAAGCAATGAATTTAAAAAAATTAACAACGAACTAGAGCATTTGTGTAATTCTTAAGAAAAACTAAAGAAACTAAAAATATTATATCAATACTTTTTAATAAAAATAATAATTAAAAGACAATATATGGTCATAAATTTATGTTTATATAAAACTTGAATGAAACAATACCTCTTTTAACTTTATGTTAGAATACATCTTTTTAAATTTAAGAATTCTTTATTTAGTCTCATATTTTAATGCAATATTTAACTTATCTCTTTTGTTTCCTCCTTTTTTTGGTTTCTCCCTATTTATATGTAACTAATGTAAGAATTAATTAAGAAAAAATATCAGAATTTTATCACTATTAATAACTCATCATTTTGCCAATTTCTTCACTATAGACAAGGTGATATGCCACATCTCTTTACCAAAGATCTTATTTATTTTTTCTTATTTATTTTTGATAAATTTCACTATATTTTAATTTATTATTATTATTTAAAAAGTGTCAATTACTACTCTCTATTCATTTATATTATTTATTGTAAAAACTTAAATGTCTCAAAATTTATTATTCCACTTATTCCTATTCTTTGTTGTAAAATTAAAGACCTAAATATTTATCAGTCCAATCTTCATTTCTCCATAAAGAATGAAAAATCTATATCTATCTACATATAATATAAAACTAGATATTAAAAAGTGATTTTACATCTCTCTTTGGCCAAGGATCCTATTTATTTATTTTTCTCATTTTTGTTGTTGTGATTTTCACTGTATTTCTATTTAGTATTACTATTAAAA